GATGCTTTTAGTAAGAATTTTATGCACTTGGCACACAAATTGGTCATTATTGAGGATTAGAGGTGTTACAAGAGAGCAACATAAAAAGAAAAAGGAGAGATAAGGACGACAGGTGTTTGACAGGAAAGAAGGAGCAAACCACACCAGAGAGCCCACAAACCTTGCTCCATCAATTTGGAACTCTCTTCCCCAACCCTTGAGACACACAACATCTGAGTCTAAATTTTTAAAATCTTTAAAGACACATTTAATGACATCATTTTTATGTAACTAGATTCAGTTTCAGTACAATGTTATGTATTGATTTCTGTATTTTGCGAATTGCATTGTGTATTTTATCTTATTATGTATAATAGGCTACATGTGTATGTACTCATTTTGAAACGATGTGTATGTGTGTGTGTTTGGCGTGCATTTGTGTGTGCACACGTGTGCGTGAGTGTGTGTTTATGAGTGTGAGTATGTGTGTATGCGTGTGTGTCGCGTGCGTGAATATTGTTCGTACATGCATTTATGTAACACGGGAGTGGGCGTTATAGAAATGATCTTCATTATTATAATTATTAAACCACCGGCTGGAGAGAGAGAAGCAAGTCGTCACAACAGCAATTTGTTGGAGTAGGGACAAAGTAAGACAGACAGAAACAACAGTGGAAAACAAAAGAAAAATCATCTCCCAAAGATGCCATTAACACACTAAGCAGTCAAAATATGTAACTAAATGACAAAATGAGCCACATGTGGCATTTTGACATTATACAAGTAATACTATTAATATCAGATTAAATGAGAAAATAGTATTAATCTAACTTCTTTGGTTCCAAAGTTAGAGAGACAAAAACCGAATATCTTGGAACAGCTGAGCGAGACAAACAAAGCATGGTCACTACACAAATAGCAGTTGTTACCTACCTATGACGATGAAACATTTGCTCCCTTGTACCCCTGTCTGGACTAACATCTGGTCCTCTTGCTTGTCATGGGAGTACCTCCAGGACTCCTGAGGGGGCAGACAGTTGAGTAATTAGAGTAAAAAGAAGAACAATGACTCTATAACTGTCATTTTGAGCAGGAAAAAAGCAAGTCAGACAGACAGAAACATAAGAAAGAAAGAACAGAAGTAGGGCCAAACAGTGGAATCCTCCAACCACATACAGTAAGTTTAAGTAATGAGATGCACATCTGTACAGTAATGGCTATTTAGTGTAGGAGAAAAAACCCAGACAGACAGATGGAGAGAATCATAAGAGGGAAAGTAAAGAAAAACCTACCTGTGGCGCCCTCTTACCACCTACATCTCCCACCTGAGCAGTCAGATTATGATTGTGTGGGTATGTGTGTGTAACTATGGTTCAGGTTCTAGTTTAGTTTTAGCAGTTTTACGACACTTACAGCACCTTAAGATAATATAAGTGCTGAAGATAGAGGTGTTACAAGAGAGTAACAAACACAAAAAAGAAAGCAAGGAGATAAGGACAACGACAGATATTTGATAGGAAAGAAGGTGTAAACCACACCAGACCACTTGTCAACCTGTTGAACCACCCATGGTTCAAGTTCAAAGTCCCTCTCGACACCAAAACATTATTTAGAAACGGAACCTTCAGAACACTTTGTCCATCATCAACATAGGATCATGCTAAATGGATAGACAGTCTTACCCCCCCCCCCCCCCCCAAAAAAAAAGAAAATCCCAACTACTCAAACAGAAAAACACTGCAATGAGGATTAGAAACAAGGGTCATTCACTCCATGGCTCAACATTATAACAACTCAGCTGCTAACCACACATCCTTGTCTGTGTGTGAGTATATATGGTTAAAAATATTAACAGACAAATACAGCCCTGCACAGATAAAGTACATATCCTTGATCTATATATGAGAAGTAAACATTCTTGAAAGACAAGGGCAAAGACAGTTACCTTTGTAGGGTTGTTCGTTTGAGAACTTTGCGGATGTCGACCATGGTACCGTCACTGAGAAATAGAAGAAACAACACAATTATTATAAGTTCTTACACAGGGTTTCCATAATGGCTGAATATATTGGCAAAACAAATATTTTCAAGAAATGCAGTATAAATTGTCTTAGACTGCCACCCACTGTCGAAAAGAAGGGAGGTTGACGTTTCGCCGCAATTATGTCACAGAGTTTACCTGAGGAAAATAAGAATGATCGTTTCGCCGCAAATTGAATTCGATTACAACTAGATTTAATTTAGTACGATGTGGTGTCTTAAGGACAGAATTTAAAAAGCTTGAAGCTCACGTACTTGACGAATTTCTCGATGTTGATTTGCCATTGTACACAGGGCCTGTTAAGGGCTGTTTGCAATTTGCTGCGTTCAGTTTTAACTTTGTTAGTCGCTGATGGTCGATGAATTTTCTTGGGAACAAGAATATGTTTTGGAAGTAGGACTTTAAGCAGGATAGGTTTATATAATGTCATGACAGTGAAGATAAAAATGTGATGTCTCAGATATAAAGTTGTTGAAAAACCCCAAAGTTGTTCAAACTGGGCTGCCATTCTTCACGTGAAAGAGTGGGAATGACCAAGAACGAGACCAGTACTTACAATGAAGGGAGAAAGGGAGAGATTGAGTCATTATAACAGTTTACCCCTCCCGTGTTCTCATTGACACAGTAGGCCTAGGAGCGTTTACAAATTTTGTTTCAGAGGCTTTCACAAATTAATTGATCTTCTATCTTCAGTGTAAGTAACTTGTATTCGAATACAATTTGCGGCGAAACAATTTCCAGACTTTGACAGGTAGTCCCCTGTTGCGTCATTGGCGGAGAAACCTAACGCGCCCGAAAAGAAAAGTAGTTGCCCCAGACAGGTGGACATCTTAGAGTAGGAAGTGGTCATTAGTACAGGTGATTGTCTTGTATAGGTGCTCATTAGAGTAAAGGGGTTAAGTGAGCAGTGAGTTCAGACTCAAGTAATGTCAAGCAAGTGTCGGTGACACTGAGTTTAGATGGGTGGTCACTGGGGTGTGTCCTTGAGGAAGACACGACAACCCTAGCTCAAAATTCAGGGCGCTGCACAGTGGTGACCAGCGATGTCATGTTTGTGAAATTGTTCTGTATTGATGTAATATTGAGTATTTATGTAAGTATTTGAGCATGCATTTATGTATGCCTGTATTTAAAATTAATGTATTTATGTATACCATGTGTGTAATATGTATGTTTGCCATTGTAAACCAAATAGCCCGTCTAGGATCAATAAAACTGAATTTGTTATTTTTTAAAACATTTTATTAGAGCAGTTTCAGGTGTAAACATAAAATGTTAAGAAAAAAAGTCTGAACAATTTTCCGAAAAATCAGTCTCCAGACAAAGTGCTATTGTGCAAACTCGAGCCATTACAGCAGACAACATTTGAGATTGACAACTTACCCAGAGTTCTCATTCTCCTTCCGACTCAGGTCATCTTCAACGCAGTCACCGTGACTCTTGACGACATGCGATGTTTTCCTCAGCGACACACGCTGTAGCGCTGCCAGAGTGACTACAGGCTGATTGCTGGGCGCAAGCGGCTGAAGACAAAACAGATGGGATTTATGAGCTGTAGAAGAAATTTTCATACGGTAAAACCTTCTCATAAAGATTATTTCAAAAACCCCATTCACCAACTTTGGTGGAAAGTCTACGTTATGCAGACCTGCCGACCCCTTCATGATCAGACCTATGAACTTTCCTCGGAATCCTAAAAAATATTGAGTTTCACAGTGGAATCCTGTTATAACGAGAGGGAGGGGACAGGAGCAAAATGTCCGTTATAGCAGGATTCTCGCTATAAGGGATCCAGTAATAAATTCAAGGGAAACTGTAAAGTAGGCCTAATCTATGAGATTGGTGTTCTCTCAAATGATGATTTGTGAGGCAGCGTGGTGGAATCAGGCTCTCGTCAAAATAATCAAAGTGAAAGCTCTCGTCAAAATAATCAAAGTGAAGAAACTTGCATTTTTCCGCAGGTTTGTGGTTTTTTATTGAATTCTTGTTTTTTGGCTCAACATCTTTCATGCCCATTAAAGAACTCATTTCTGTGTGAATTTTTCTGAAAAACGTTGATTAAAGGCACAAAAAATGTAAATTTTCTGTTACCACGGACTCTTAAGCTAAGTAAATGACTAATCTTTGGCGGCCGTTTTCTCATTAATTTTACCTCTGAAAACAGGTGACCCCCACCTCCTTTTTTCCCAAATATCTCGACTTGTATTCAAGATAAATGGATATCTTTTTCATCCAAATAAAGACAAGAAAACAAGCTTTAAGATGATACCAATAACTCTACATGCCTTAAAATTGACAAGAGCCTGATTCCACCACGCTGCCTCACATTTTGTTTCAACATGACCTCTAGGTCTTACTTGATCAAAAATTTAATCAGGTTTCTTTTTCTAGCTCTAGGTCTAGCGATGTGGACTGACAGCTCGGCATTGGCGATCAGAAAGAAAGGGCTCTGGGCTAACTCGCCCGCTGTGTTTACCCCCACCCCACCCCACCCTTTGGGGCTTTCTGTCTGCTTGCGCACATCACACATTCCCTCCATCCATCACATTGCTGTGACCTCTCCATCTCCGCATCGGAGAAGTGAGAGGCATGGTAGGCGTTGATAACTAAATAGGCTTACGCTGGCCTATCACGCGATGCGTTCTGCTTGTCTGCGCATGCCTCCCTACTCAGTCACTCCGGCCTTCATTGGCTCTCCTATTCTTTGTTTCTCAAGATCACGAACAAGTTTCTCAACTGACAAGGTTTTGCAATGGCCTATGCACTGAGCACAGCAGCAGCAATATTCCGCTATAACTGACTCGCATGTTTGATAGCGTTATAGCAGTATTTTATTTACAAAGGTAAAGAGGAGAAAAAAACCCCGGGGTTTTAGAATAGTTTCTTTATAACAGACTTCTCGTTTTTTCCGGACTCCTTTTAAGTGGACTCCACTGTATATCAAAAGAAAAACTTCCCATTTGATCTAATCTCACATGTCTACCAACCTTAACCTTGGCAGAGAGGTTTCCGTTCTCATTGATTCTTGACCTCAGGTCGGGGCCGCCTGTCCTCTTGAGCTTCACGCTCCTCAGAGCCTCAACAGTGATCTCAGGCAACAGAGTCCCGCCGACCGCCTGCGACAGAAAAATGAAAAATGATCAATTGATGAGGACCCGACAGACATGTGGCGTATCGTCCATGGCACGGGAGGTGTGCAGCAGACCTGTTTATTTTCGTTTGAGCCAACTGCCATGCTAGACACAGACTTGGAAAAATAGATGAAAAGGTGACAGGAAAAGAACAGGATAAAAATAATACAGTTTAGTGATTTTATCTTTTTAACAGTATCCAATGACTCAGATTCAGAAAAACTTTAAAATCTTTGAGCGTTAGAAATCAGTGACCACTGAAGTGTGCAAAAGAACCCCTGCCCCCCCCCCCCCCCCTCCAAAAAAAACAACAACAATAAACAAACAAACCAAAAAATATACCAAAACAGAAGAAAAGATCTATCAAAACTTACAAACAGGTGACGTGAATAGACAAAGGCAATATGTTTTTTCAGGATCATCCCGCAGAAAAACCGGTGCTGGCTTTTTCTTTTTTTAAAGTAGTTGCTTTTATACCCCCATCGAAAAAATTCAGATTATTTAAGAGGTGGGCTTTTGACCCTGCCAGTCGGGCCCAACCCAGCCTGAGAGGGATACATCTCAGCAGAAAGACAAAGATACTTTATAAAAATGTTCTCCCCACTTGGGAATCGATTTTAGGTCTCCTGCATGCAACAGCTAAGCACCAAACCATTACACCACAGACACAGGTCCAATATCTGTTGTAGATCCGTCACTTGAAGAAAAAACAGTGGAGGCCACAAGCCACAATAACCATTCTACGTTACATGACCAAAAAACAAAAATGACTTTCACTCACCCTCATTTTCTTCATGACCTGATCCTTTGTCTGAACATCTGTCTTCAACCTTCGAATCACAGGCATAAAATAGGGTGGGGGTGGGGGTGGGGGTGGGGGTGGGGGAGGAGGGGGAGGGGGAGGCGGGGCTGGTGCGGCCGTGCTGGATACGAGCATATCAGGAGGGGCATACTCTTTGCCTTTTGCCTTCTCGCTGACAAATGACGAAACCTCGGACACCGCAGGCCCGTGGGAATGAGTACCAGAGTTCGACTTGGAGCTGCTCAACAACCTGAACAAGAAATGGAGAAAAGAAAAGACATCAGTACACAATTGTCTTTGGCTAAGATCCACCACTTACAATCTCAGTTCACTTATGACCCCGCTGTTTCAAGAAAGCAAAATTATAACCACACAAAAGTCAACACTAAAATACTTCTCTGAAGTACCACATTGGCCAACGATCCCTCACTTTCCTGGCTCCCAAGCACAGGGATCTGTGGCAGAGACTACTGTATACCACTTTCATCATTTCCTTTTGTTCTTGTAGTAGTCATTGGGGAAATATGTTGTCACAAATCCAAATGACAGAAAGCAACTAGAAAGTTGTTACAAACCAGACTTGCTTACTGTTCCAAAGCCCAATAAGGGATACCCAACGTTATAACGTCATATTATGTTAGAAAGAGCAAAATTCCATCAAGTGGTACTGGTTTTGGTACAACGTAAGAGACAAGGTTCTAAAATTACCAATAGTCGAATCATGGACAGTCCCTGAAAATTCTGGACAGTTGGCAACCCTGCATAACCAGTACTGATCTCGAACAGCAAATGTGCACCACTGGCTAAGTCAAGTTGATATCATTCCGGACTATGGAACTGGTGGCCTTGGTCAAATCCCCAAACAAGACATTCTGAACTTGATTTGGGGTGTCTTGGCTCAGTCTTATAGAAGATGAGTGTTGAACTTAGAAATCCAGTCTCTTAAAAACCATACAGTGTTGAAAGGGCATTAAACCGACACATTGACAACCCCCCCCCCCCCCAACCCACCCAAATAGTATAACACGCCCTTACACCTTCCTTGACTCCAAACATATCAAGATCTGAAGAGTAGGAAGTAGCTCTGTCTGCCACCTAGGCAAAGCGATGTCATGCATACTGCTTCAATATCGTTTGTCACTATGCAAACAAAGGCCAAACATACCTTGCACTACAAGGTGATGAGGATTCTGGGAAGAGACCGATGTAGTCTTCTGGATCCACGCTGCTCCCCTCTAGTTGCACACAAGTATAACTTGGCTTCAAGCAGGCAGCACAAACATGTTGACGACACATCCCGAGAGAGCCCAAACCTGAAGAACTGGACCTGACCTCCGCATTCCCCTGTGAACACAATGGGGGGGGGGGGGGGGATGATAAACCATTCAAACACAAGTGATATGCTAAATCCCAGTTATTAGACTACCAAATACTTGAAAAAAGCATCCACCTTGACAAAGTTTACATTTTCTTTCCTGCACAACTAGCCACAGTTACATAAGTCTACCATTGTTAACAAATCTACTTTCTCTCTTTCACATTGACAAATTGACATTTCTTGCATTCTTGATATTTCATACCCACATTAAGTTCACATTGGAATCACATACCTGGTTAGTTTTAGCAGCTTCCAACTCAGCCTCCAATTCAGCAATCCTAGCAGACAATCTGTCAGATGTCGTCAAGCCAGACAATAATCCTCTTGCTGCTGTTTTACTCTAAAATGAAAAATAAAAGTGAGAAAAAAAAAGAAAAAAAAGAAAAATCAAATTCAATTTTCAAGTTCATGCTGAGTCATAATGCAAAAGTATAAAATCTCATGGTCCACTTAACATAATATAAACCCCCCCCCCCCCCACCCTTCTGGTTTGAGAAAAAGAACATATTACTTTTTAACCTATTTGATACGGTTTGATGCAACTGGGATGACACTGGCCAGGGCACACTACATTAACTTGACTTCTACTTCTACACTTTGCATTCTGGTCCGTGTGCGCAAACAAAAGATCTGACCATGTAATAGGCCTACTTAATAGCCTTCTGATTGATTGTTTTCATCACCCATATAAAATCGTGATATACAAAATCGAAAAAAATTTATTTTGGAGGATGATACTCATTGTACACTGCCAATTTGATTCTGTCTAGGTCAGCCAGATTTCCCTTCATGGATGGAGCAAAAGCTACCTTTTTGGCACAAAACAATTGAATATTCAATTAAATTAGACAGATTTTCGTAATCAAACACATGAATTTTTCAAAATCGCAAGTCGAATCATTTGTGTGTTGTGTCAAAATAGTAGCTCTTTCCCCCCATGAAGGAAATTCTGGCTTACCCTGATGGAATTAAATAAGAGAGTATATATATTCAAATTGTGCCTTTTTGTTCCTACATAAAAAAGGAAAACCTGGCAGCCATAAAAAAATATATTAAATAGAGATTTGTTGAAACTTTCTACAATGTGCTCTGTATATTAGAATCACACCTCTCCGAGCTTCTCTATACACTGTACACTAGTATCTAAACACTTTCTTGTTTCACTTTAGCTGAGATAGCATCCTCTGATGGAGGGCGAGACTGTTGCTGTAATCAGGGTTTACTTTACAATTCACAGACATGAAAGCTAACTCCTCATCTCCAGTCAGAACCGTTGCACCAGTGAAACGCTGGCAGCAACCTGATCACATTTTTAACCATGACAAGTTTAAGCCACAAATATCGATTTTCGACATTACTGAAAACAGGTCCCTTTTAAGCGCATAGAGCTACTTTTTGGGGGGAAATGTGCTATAATATAAATATAGAATATTATTATTTATTATTTTTATTTTTATTAGGAGTTCTCGGGTGAATGAAAGAATAATCAAAATAGGTACACAAAAAAAAACTCTCATGTAGCCCGTGTTAAGAAAAGAACACACTGTTTTATCTTTCCTTCATCAGCAGAGTCAATGGATGAAAAGTGAAAAAAAACTTCTTTGGATGTTAGTCATGGAGCACAAGTATGACTTAAAAGCACTGCATTCTCTTTTTCAAGAATGAAGATAAAAATGAAAAGAGGTAAACACTTAGGGATACAAAAATCTAGATTAATATGATGACATTTTCATCCTACAAAGCAAATATAAATCCTTACCATGTTGAATGCATCAAGCATCCATCCCGTCACATAATCCATTGCTGTAGATCAGACAGAGTTGGCAAATCAACTGTGAGAAAATCTGGGGGGAAATGGAGAAATGTTTAAAGAAGCTGCAGTTACAGAGAAATAAGAACCAAGACCCAAGAACCCACACACTAGCGATGATAAGGCCGAAACAGTGGCAAAGATTTGCACTCAAGTTCAAGACCCAACTCCCCCTATTGCAAGTTGAAAGAAAAGAATTGAAAAAGAAGAAAAGAATTGAAAAAGATGAAAACATCACTATTTTATGCTTAAATTTCATTCTCAAGACCCAAGTTGCTTTGATATTTTTAAAAAACCAACTAATTAAGTTTAAGCCACAAATTTCCTGAATGTTGATGTTGAAATACAGAAATATGTGTACTAATAACTAACTGAATTACAGGGCTAGTTGGGAACCAGAAACATGAACATGTATTTCGAACAGTGAGCTCCAACTTCACTTGGCACTACACTACCACTATACTACCAGTCAGTGCAAAAACAAACTACAGACCTCTTAGCCTACTGCTCTAAAACTAACAATAATTGGGTCTCGGTGGCAGTGTCAGTGCTGCAGTCATCTTTTAAAGTACATGTGCATCTGGGTATTATATTGGACCATGCGTTTTTCTATCCTGATTAGGTTCATTTATCATTTTAAAATGGCTGATTTTGTACACTGTTTTTGGGATTGTAAAGGATACAGCCTTTATCAGCAGACCTCCAAAAGCAGGCTGCCACAAAGTCATGAATTCTCAGCAGTTTTTCATTCACTCACAGCCTGACATAATTCACTTGAGAATCCTACTCAGGAAGAGCTCAGGTAAAGGGGGGAACCAATTAGTTAACATGGTATAGGAACTGGACAATGAAACTTGGCTTGGGATCAAAACATTACTTTAAGCAGAATAGCAAGCTTATTTATTGAAGAAAAGTCCAAGAAGCAAAGTCCGAAAGCTAAAAGAAAAAGAAGAATCTGACAGTTTTAAAACATTTGCAGCAGTCTACAAGTAAGACAGAAAAGTCTCTATTTTGCTGCTCTCTGTAATTTGAGTAGAGTATTTCTGCATACATTCCCTAAAAGTCCTTTGGAAGTCCAAGAAGAGGATGAAGTAGTGTGGCTAAACAACAGAGGTGGACAAAAATATATAAGAGCTGAATATTGTTTTCGATGCCTGTTTTATTGAACAGTTGATGCAAGTCAGGCAAATAAAAATTCTTTCAGCCTGGAAAAACCTTTTAGTCGGCCAACGCTTACCATTTAATGATCAAAAGGGAAATGGAAAGCCTGGAAAAACTATAAAAATTTAATTAATTAATGTTGGCTTGCACACAACACTTCTGTGATGTGATGTCTGGCATGCGCTATCATGTGCTGAACATGTTAACGTAAATTTTTACTTTTAGACCAGCACGCAGATGTGCACTACATAATATTGGCTATGGTTATCGGCAATTAAAAACCCTCACAAATGAATTTTTAAAAAGTAACAAACCTATTGCAAAACATAAAGTGAAATGCATGGGGGCATGCCCATCTGAAATCACCCATATTGTTAAAAACAAGTAAACTATTACTATCTACTACTAATCTGTCCCATTTGATTTTATATTAATATATAATTTATTATATCATGAATGATATAGATCTATATATATTGCCCATACATCTCTCTATAAAAACTTAAATAATCATTAGCAGTAGACACTACTACTATGATGCAAAGTGCTTGAGAATCTGAGTCCATCAAAAGCAAAAAAAATTTGGCCGGCACTATTTCTCCGAACGTTCGGGAAAATAAAGCTGGGCACTATTTCTCCGAACACTCTGAAATGACACCCTTTCCCGCATATTTCGGATAATAAAAATAAAATA